GATATTCTCCTGCTGCCTCTTCCCCAAGCTGGAAATGAAACTCCAGATAATTTTAGTAAGCAGGTGATATAAGTAATATGTTCACAGAAGTCCTTGAAGGCCTTCAAATAAAGATCTGCAGATCTTTGTTTGACTGAGTGAATTTAAAATCCAAAAGAAATATTCAGTTTCATCCTGTCTGTGGATATATTCCTGTTGCCTTTTCCCCAAGCTGGAAATGAAACTCCAGATAATTTTAGTAAGCAGATGATATAAGGTGTTCACAAAAGTCCCTGAAGGCCTTCAAATAAAGATCTGCAGATCTTTGTCTGACCAGTTGAATTCAAGGCTGATGCTTCCAAAAAAAATATTCAGTGTTTTGTCCTGCCTGTGGATATTCTCTTGTTGTCTCTTCCCCAGCCTGGAAATCAAACTCAAGATAATTTAAGTAATATAAATTTAGTGATACAAGATGTTCATGAAAGTCCCTGAAGGCCTTCAAATAAGGATCTGCAGATCTTTGTTTGACCAGATGGATTCAAAATGTAAAAGAAATATTCAGTGTTTCATCCTGCCTGTGGATATTCTCCTGTTGCCTTTCCCCAAGCTGGAAATGAAACTCCAGATAATTTTAGTAAGGAGGTGATATAAAAAAGATGTTCACAAAAGCCCCTGAAGGCCTACAAATAAAGATCTGCTCTTATATCACCTCCTAACTAAAATTATCTCAAGTTTCATTTCCAGGCTGGGGAAAAGGCAACACTCCCTGTGATTTCAAACTGGGAATTTATCTTTACTTCCCTCACTGAAATTCTGGCAGATGGACATTGGCCAGAACAGCTCCTGTGAATATTCAGGACTGATCTCTGCATGTGCAAATGAAAAGCAAAATCTTTCAGGGAACAGAGATACAGGGCAGGAGGGGAACCCCAACTAACAGAGAAACACAAAAGGGGGGAAAAATCCCCAAAAAGTGAAATGCAGGACAAAAGCAGCAAAGGCAGCCTCACATCACTGCCATAATTAGATAAATGAATTAAAAAATGGTTGCTCTCCTTGCCAGCACTCGAGTTCTGTCAGAAGCAGGGAGGAAAAACTCCAATTTGTTTAGACAGATGTTTCCAACACTGCTGGAAGCAGCTAAAAAGCTCCTTTGATCCCAGATTTCCCAGTGACAGGCTCACAAGCATCATGGAGAACAAGAGACATGACAAGCTCCTAAATGTATAGATTTGCCTTTCATGCTGCAATCAAAGAGGGAGAATGTTTGATATTTACTGTGAGCAGCACAAAGAAACACGGGAGACAGCCCAGGGAGATCAATTTCCATGTAAAAATCACATTGCTGGAAGAGGCAGCTGGGTTCTCTGCACAGAAAAAGATACAAGGAAATAAAAAAAGAACTGGATGAGGGAAAAAAATAAAAATCAAAATCTCACTTCCCCCAAGTTTCACAGGCTGAAAACAGGGGATGCTTCAAAGGGAAGAAAACATTAAATTTAGTCACAAAGGCATAAATTCCTCAGGAGCAGGCTCCTCTCCTTCCTGTGGCTGTGTGTTGATATTAAGCCATGATGAGAATGCCTGCATTCCAAGGAGATGGCTGATAAAAAGCACTCTCAAAACACAGATAGCACATCCCTGGGTATCCACAGGAAAGCTAAAGCTTCATTCCTTTTCCTGTTTTCTTTTTAATCTCCCTTAGGAAATATGGGAAGGAGCTCAGCACACATCATCACCTTACGGGGATCCTTTGGAAAAACAAGAACCTCCTTTTAGCAAAAAAACACCCAACAATAAATCTATGTTTGAGTGCAAATATAAATTAAACTATTCTGGGGTTGGATTGGGAGGGGTGGCTGTGTCCCTGTAGGAATATAGAGGGGATCCCATAGGAAAACACAGGGATCCCAAATATTGCAAACAAGTTGACCAACCACATGTAAATTCAACCAGACCCACAGGTAAATATAGGGGGCCCCCAAGGTAAAAAGGGGAACCCCCCAAGGTGAAAAGGGGGATTCTCCCATGGATAAACACAGGGAACACCCCATGGATAAACACAGGGAACCCCCAAAATTAACACAGGGATATCCCAGGGACAAACACAGGGAACCCCAAAAATAAACACACGGATACCCCGAGGATAAACACCCAGTAATCCCCAAAAATAAACACAGATTCCTCCCATGAATAAACACAGGGACCCTCATGGATAAACAGGGAACCCCCCATGGATAAACACAGGGAACCTCCAAAAATAAATACAGGGAATCCCTCATGGATAAACACAGGGAACCCCTCATGGATGAAGACAGGGGAGCCCCCAAAGATAAATACAGGGAACCCCCAAAATTAACACAGGGATACCCCAGGGATAAACATCAGGAATCCACAAAAATAAACACAAGGATATCCCAGGGATAAACACAAGGAACCCCCAAAAATAAACACAAGGATACCCCAGGGATAAACATAGGGAACCCTCAAAAATAAATACAGGGAATCCCTCACGGATAAACACAGACCCCTCCCATGGATAAACACAGGGACCTTCATGGATAAACAGGGAACCCCCCATGGATAAACATAGGGAACCCTCAAAAATAAATACAGGGAAGCCCTCATGGATAAACACAGACCCCCTCCCATGGATAGACACGAGGAACTCCCCAATGGATAAACATAGGGAACCCCCAGAAATAAACACAGGGACACCCCATGGATAAACACAGGGAGCCCCCCAGGGATAAACACAGGGAGCCTCCACAAATAAACACAGGAAACCCCATGGATAAACACAGGGAACCCCCCCAAAAAGTAAACCCAGGGCCCCCTAAACCACAAGACCCTTCCCCATAAGCAAACACAGCCCCCCACACAGATAAACACAGGGCCCCCCATAGGTAAACACAGGGAGCCTCATATACAAACATGGTCCCCCCTTGGGTAAACACGCCCCCCCCCATAAGCAAACACAGCAGCCCCCAGGCAAGCACGGGACTCAAACACAGTTTAACCCCTTGTTAACCACAGCCGCCCCACAGGCCTCCCGCCCCGTGCCTGCCCCGGCACCACCTCCCCACCACGGCCCACTCAGGCCGGGCAGGGCCTGGCGCCGCCACCGCGCCTCACGGCAGTCGCGCAGAGCCCCAGCCCGCCGGGAAGGCACCACGGCAGCCCAGCCCGCTCCCTCCGAACGGCCGGGCCATGCCCGCCGTGCCCCCGGTGCCCCTCACCCGCCGCCGCTGCTCCCGCCTCACCGCGGCCCCTCCGCTTCACAGACGCTCGGCGTGACGCAACTTCCGGTCACGCCCCCCGCGCGGCGCTCTGGCCGCCGGCGGGGCCATAGAGACGGCGTGGGAGCCGCGCTGTGCGCATGCGCACTGCCCGCGTCAGGAGCCCTCCGGCAGCTGTCACACCTGTGTCACACACCTGTCTGTCACATCTGTCCCTCCTTCCCTGCATCCCCTCCATCACACCATCCTTTCCATCATGTCCATCCCTCCATCATGTCCATCCCCTCCATCGCACCGTCCTCTCCATCTCGCCTCTGTCACTTTTTCATCCCTTCCATTACCTCCATCCCCTCCCAGGGCTGCTCTCCTTTCCACACCCTCACACGCAAATTACCAACAGCTCCGTGCTCCGGTGGGGCTGGGCACTCTGGAGGGCTGATCCCTGCAGGAGAGCCCCTTGGGGATGAGCAGACCCCAACTTTCCATAGAGTGCCTTTGTATTTCCATTGGAAATTTGTGTTTATTGCCTTTCTTTGTTTGTTTTTTAAGGGAAACTGTGCAAAGCTTTGGATTTAATGGTGCTCTGAGATGGGGATGAAACATGTCCCCACAGATGCCTCCCTGAAAGGCTGGGTTTGACCTATTGATTCCAGTTTTTCAGGGATAGAAAGCTACTCCCCATTTTTAGTAAAGCCCTGAACTGATCCAAAGCTTGGCACCACCTTTCTGCCTTTACACAGGAGAAAGACCAGAATCAGCTCCCTTTGGGATTAAAAACTTCCCCCAATGCCACTGGAGTCACAGCCCTCTCATTTCCCACAGGAGAAACACCAATCCAACATACCAACTCACATTTTTAGGGATGATAGAGGGACATAGGGTGCTTTCCCCCCCCGCCAAAAAAAAAATTCCCAGTGGAATAAGATCGGAAAGATACTTAAAAGATGCTCATGTAAGTATTTATTGGGTTAGAAATATGGTGTGGTTTCCATCCCAGCACACAGCTGCATCCCAAACAGGCACAAACAGGCAGGAATTGCTGCTCCATTTGCTTCACCTTCCTACTGGCTAAAGCTGAATGCAGCAAAAGGCACCTCCTGCAATCCTGAAAACTCCTTAACCTGGATATAGAAATCTATTGCTTGATAAAGAAAAAAACCCTGATATTAAAAAAGGCAGCAAATGCAGAGTTAGTCTGAAAGCCAGGAGTGTCCTGCAGTTCCCTGTCCTTTTTCCCCAGTCCTTTGAGATTTTCCAGGAGGCCCCATGGTAGACATTGATTTAAAATCTCAATTTGTGAGTGGCCCCGCCGGGGGATTTCTTTTTTTTAATCAGTAGGAACACTCAGGAATTCACTCCATGAGTTTACATTCAAGGAATTTGGGTGTGTGGGTGCACCCAGGATAGGTCCCATCGAGGTGGGTGCTGCTGAAGGCTCCAGAACCTTTCTGAAGCAGCAGGAAGGATCCATTCCCAGTGGGGCAATGAGCTGGAAAAGAGGATTTCACCCCATGGGATAAGGCTGGGCAGGATCCCCTGAGAGGAATCTTTATTTCTGTTTGGATGGAGGTGGAGCACATCCCACCCCACCCTACCCTCCAGCATCCCCCTCCCCACCACAAGCTGCATCTCTCCAAGACATGCATGGCGAGCATCCACGTTGGAAGGCGCTGATGGGGCTGGGAAGAGCCCCACAAAGCCCATCTGTCCCTCCCAGGAGAAGAACCATCCTCCCGAGGAGCAGCACAGCGAGGGGCTGAGCCTGCCATCCCCTGCAGCAGCTCACAGAGAGCTCCTCTCGGGCAATCGCTGCCGGATCTGGAAGGCCTCGCACTTCTTGTACTTCATGGTCAGTCCGTACTGCGGAGTGATGTCCACCTGCTCCCCGGGCCTCAGGCTGAAGTGCAGCTGCTGCAGCAGCGTGGTGAGGAAGAGGAAGATCTCCCAGCGGCCGATGGTCTCGCCGAGGCAGCGGCGCCGGCCCAGCCCGAAGGACAGAACCTTCTCGCTCTCGGCACGGTTCAGCTCCGTCCCTGCCGCGCTCAGGAACCGCTCGGGCCTGAAGGCTGAGGGCTCCTTCCACAGCGCCCTGCGACACACAGGGGACACTCGCTCACAGGGTTGGAATATATGTTATAATATATTATTATATATTATATAATATATAATATATTATATTATATATATTATACTATGTAATATATTATATAGTATAATATATATAACATTATATATAACATTATATATAACATTATATATAATTATGTTATATATATGTTATTATATATATATTTTATATATATATGTAATTATGTTATATATATATGTTATATATATTATGTTATATATAACATTATATATAACATAACATTATATATAACATTATATATTATTATATAGTATAATCTATTATGTATAACATTATATATAACATTATATATAACATTATAATAGAATGATATGTATTTAAAATAAAATAAAAATAAAATAAATAAAATTTTAAAATAAAATTCAAAATTAAATAAAATAATAAAATAAAATAAAGTAAAATAAAATTTTAAAATAAAATAATAAAAAATATTATATTGATTCCAGTTTTTCAGGGGTAGAAAGCTACTCCTGATTTTTGGTGAAGCCCTGAACTGATCCAAAGCTTGGCACCACCTTTCTGCCTTTACATGGGAGAAAAGACCAGAATCAGCTTCCTTTGGGATTAAAGACTTAAAAAGGAAAAAATAATTTAAAAAATAAACTAAAATAAAATGTAATATATTATAATAAAATGTAACACAATGTAATAAAATATAATATATAAAATATGAGATAGTATATATAATATATTGTTCCAGATTGCAAAGCAAGAGGTATTCTATTTGCCATCTGTATGGCAGTTGTCTTTTGTTCAGTGGGCAGTTTTCCTTATCTCTTCTACAACCATTCCTCCCTCAGGAGGGTACATCTGCTGATAAGGGGCTATTGAATGTCCCTGCATGGCTGATAAGAGCTACAGCATCCCACTGGGAGATGTGAGCCCAGAGGGAGGAGCCAAGCATTCCCACCCAGATATAATCTGGAGATTCTGGAACACCAGCATGGCTTCTGCACTGGATTTCCCAGAGGAACAGCAGCTGCCTCTTGCCCTGGATCTTCAGAGGAAGAGACTGCACCTTTCTCCAGGATCCCTGCTCCAGCAGAACCACACCTGACCCTCCAGGAGGGCTGAGCCACAATTCCAATGGGACTGCTGCCAACACCCTGACCCACAGGGTGTCAGGCTGTGTTCTGACTCTGTCAGTGTTGTTTTAGTGCACTGCATTGTTCATTTTATCTTTTTTTTTCTTCCCTAGTAAAGAACTGTTATTTCCTGCTCCCATATTTTTTTGCCTGAGAGTCCCTTAATTTAAAATTTATAACAATATGGAGGGGTGGGGAGGGTTTACATTCTCCATTTCAGGGGAGGCTCCTGCCTTCCTTAGCAGACTCCTGTCTTTCCAAACCAAGACATAGATATAAAATATATAATATATATTATAAAATAATTTGTGCTAAAGGAAATTAAAACCCACAGTATTTTGCATACTAAAGCCAGTGTCAGGCAACAAGCAGTAACAGGCTAAGTGATAAGGATGAGGATTTCAACACCAGGAGGACACTGTCTCCAGAGATGTGTATTTCAAGGGATTTTTTTCATCTGACAAGACCCCAGCAGGAGGCATTTGATAGGCATCATCAATAAGATAATATTCTTATTATCCAGACACCAGAAGTTTATCTCAGAAGATTTCCACCTGACAGGATTTCAGCAATTATCCGCCAGTTCTGGGAAACATGGTGGCAAGAAAGAAAAAACTACAATAATATGCTAAAATATGCTAAAGAATGGCCCCTTCCAGAGCCCAAAAGACTGTATAAAACAAACCCCTTAGAAACGACATTTGGAGACCCACAGGGACTTTGGTGCAATAAAAGCCAAATCCTGGGTTCCTCAGCCCTGATTGCTTGGCTCAGAGTCAAATTGCTTGTAGCTTTTTCCAAATATATACTTTGATTAGTTAATAAATTTTCTTAATTATTAAATTGAAATATTCATTTATAACAGGGTCACATAACAGCTTGTCCAGTGCCACCCCCTGCCATGGCAGGGACAACTTCCACCATCCCAGGGTGCTCCAAGCCGTGTCCAGCTATAGGGATGTGCCCTCTGTTGACAGAGTGACCAAACTATCCTTTGTCTCCTTAAAAAGGAAAAAAAGACCAGAAGTTTCTTTCCTCAATTAGCAAAGAAGACACCTCATAGGACCTGGAGGACTTCACCTCAAACTTAAGGATAGCCAATTGGACAGGAGCTAAAGAGTCCCTCCTAAGCACTTTACTAGAAAAAGAAGAGAACAAAGAAACCAATGGCTTTTGTGAGGTGTTTTACCAGGGGCAAGAACCTCTTGCACCTGGCTTGGTCCTTCTCTGTAAAGAGTTTTGTTATTTTTGCCTTTTATTAAAACTTTTCTGTTTCCAACACTACCACAGAAGCCATCCTGCTGCTTTTATGCCTTCTAAGGTAGCTGAGCTATCTTGGGTGTGATATAGATCTCCAGGAGTTTGTGAGACCTGGCTTGTAGAGACCTTATATCATCCAGCCTGGCCTTGGACACTGCCAGGGATCCAGGGGCAGCCACAGATTCTCCTGTGCCAGGGCCTGCCCACCCTCCCAGGGAGGAATTCCTTCCCCATCTCCCATCCATCCCTGCCCTCTGGCAGTGGGAAGCCATTCCCTGTTTCCTGTCTTTCCATCCCTTGTCCCCCCAGTCCCTCTCCAGCTCTCCTGGAGCCCCTTCAGGCCCTGCTAGGGGCTCTGAGGTGTCCCAGATCCCAGCTCCAGAGCAGAAGGTTCCAGCCCTTGGGCACTGTGATGGTTCTGACCCCCTGCAGTGGGGTCAGTGACCAAAACCCCTCCTTGCAGAGAGGAGCTTTGCAGCACTGCCTCACTGCACCACCCAAAAGCACCCTTGGCAAGCTCTGGCCCTGATCTACAGCACCAACTCGTGTCAGACTCCATCAGCTCAGCCCATTGAAACCCCTGTTCCAGGCTCAGGCTGTGTTTGCCCAGGCAGACACCAGAGATGGATTTAATTCCATCCATTTAATCCCAGCAGCCAGAGAACCTGCAGCTTCAGCACTGGGATCAGCCAGCAGCCCTTCAAACAGGGAAAATGGGGACCAGAGGGTTCCCTGTGCTGAATATTCTCAGCAGAACTTCCCAGCTGGCCCCAGGGCAGCTGCTGGGAGGTGCCAGGTGGGATTTAACAGTGTCTCAGCTGGGAATTTCTGCTGGGATATGTGGAATCCTCTCCGCCCTAAGGACAGCATTCCCATCCCACACTCAGGCAGGAGCAGGAGGGATATTGGAAGGTTTCTGGCCTCTTGGGGTGTTTGGATACAAACATCTTGAGCTTTGATCCAAAACACCCCACCTGGGAACCCCCTCCTGTATCAATCCTTAGCTCACTCCCTGCTGGAATGTCTCTGCTGGGAAGCAGTGGAGGGGCAGGATGGAGCTCTGCTTCCCAGTCCCCCCATCATTCCTAAAGCTGATTATCAGCAACCACAACACGAGCCCGTGGACTTTAGCAGGGTCACATCACCACATTTTTCTCCCTTAAAAGAGGAGTCAGCAATTCCCATTGAGCACATCCAGAGCTCAGATCACAGGATCTGCTTGGCAGCGGGATTTTCTGATTCCTGACTACCCAGCAGCCTGAGCAGCACATAAATTATGTAATCCCTCATGCTGGGGAGCTGCTGAACTGGGGGCCAAGTCAAGCTGGACCAGCTCCATGCCCAACAGAGCCAAGGCTGGGCTCACCATCAAACCCACACCATTTTTGGTCCAATCTGCCCTTTTGTACACAATCCAGTCGTTTCTTGGAATGAGGATCAGAGTGATCTGAATGCCAAGAGCAGCCACAGCAGCCTGGATGAGCAGGAGGGGTTTGGGATACTCACTCATCATGGTTCACTTGCCACTGGTTGATGAACACGCAGGTGTCTTTGGGGATGTAGTAGCCGTTCAGCACTGTTGCTTTTGTTGTGCTGAAGGGAACAGAGGAGTTAGAGGAGATCCACAGCTCCTGACAAGCCAAAGCCCAGCGAGTTCTGCATGGGTTTCATCTTCAAAACCCTACTTGTGCCCTTAGGACTGGCTAGGAAATACCCCAGATTGTATTTGGGAGGTTTAAGAGTCTTGGCTTCACTTTCCTCCACCAGAAAAATTCCAGTTTCACTTCACAGCTCATTCCAGATCAGTTGTGATGGTTCCTCCCAAGGCAGGAAAGAAAATATAAACCCAGGTGTGCTCTGCCAGCAAAGGTTTGTGGAGAGAAACCACCCTCAAAACAAAGGATCCAACCCCAGAAGGGCAACAAGCTGGAATATTTCCCCCTCACAGGGATCAACAACCCCAAAGAAGGTGTTGGCCGCTACAGCCCATACCTGTGTGGGATGGTGAAGGGCAGGAAGGAGGAATGCCTGAACATCTCCAGGATGAAGGCTTCCGTGTAGGGCAGCGTGCCCCGGTCCGACAGCCGCGGCCGCCTCTCGCGCCCGATGGTGCGGTCTGGGGAGGGGGCAGGACAGGGTCAGCACCGGGGCTGAGCACAGAGAGCCCCAGAGGGACGTGGGGCATGGACTCACCCAGCTCTTCATGGATCTTCTTCTGGACGTCAGGGTACAAGGCAACGTACATGAGGCTCCAGGATAGGGCTGTGGCCACAGTGTCAAAGCCTGGATGGGTGTGGGGGAGGCATTTAGAGACCACAAGAGGACAGTGAGTGGGTGCTTCAGATGCCACCGCTCCAGATGTTTGCTCCCCCAAAAAGTGTTCAGGAAGGCACCCAATAGCAGCTCCACACACCCAAAGGTGGCCAACATGTCCACCCAGCAGCTCCATGTCCCCACCCAGCCTCATCCCAAAAGATCCAATGGCGCCCTGAGAAATGTTCCCACCTGCCCCAAAGAGGTCGTTGACGATGTGGATGATCTTCTCATTGGAGAGCTGGACGCCAGTGTCCTCCCCAGTGCTGTTCTCCTGGCAGTGCCCGATCAGCGAGTCCGTGATGTCCCGGATGTGCTCCTGGGGAAGAATCCACAGAATCACAGAATGACCAGGTTGGAAGAGACCTTCAAGACCATCAATCCAACCCAGCCCCAACACCTCAACTAAATCCTGGCCCCCAGTGCCACACTCAGGCTTTGTTAAACACACCCAGGGATGGAGACTCCATCACCTCCCTGGGCAGCCATTCCAGATCTTTATCACCTTTTTTGTAAAAAACTGTTTCCTAATATCCAACCTAGATTTCCCTTGGTGCAGCTTGAGGCTGTGTCCTCTGGTTCTGTCAGTGCTGCCTGGAGAAGTGGCTCAGGGACACCATGGACACACTGGGATGGGGAAACCTGCCTCAAATGGCTTGGGGAAAGGAATCACTGCAGCTCAGAGGCCTCCAGGGGGCTTTGCTGGGTGAGAAAGGGAGATCTGGATGCTGAGAATTTCAGACTTTCTGTGCTGACAGACAGACTCCGAGGAGAGCACTGCATTTGACCTGAGGCTGTGGAGAAGGCTTCCAAAACTCATTGATAGCACTGGGATTATGAGTGTGTAGTTGATGAGGAGTGTGTAATGTCACAGGGCAGAAAACTGGGGTTTTAGAATATACTAAAAAATATAGAGCAAGATGGAGGTTTTAGGGTGGAGGCTGGCTGTTCTTCTTTACCTTCTTCTTCATGGGTTTGGGGTGGTATTTTGTAATTGGTAATTTTGTAATTAGGTGTCATTTCTTAATTGGACAGTTCAGCCTTAAAAGACCTTGTAACAAGAGATTGTTAATAATTTTGCGCCGTGTTAATGAAAGACTGCAGAACCCACTGCTGTGAGACTGTAACATAGATAATAAATAATAAACATCTGAGCCTGAAGGTGAACTGTCACCTCAAGTACCTTCAATCCCAACCTCAACAGAGACAGAGAAAGGAAGCCAAAAACCAGCAGCAGGGGACACTTGCAGGCATCTCCACCCACATCCAAGAGCATGTGAGCCCTTACCTTATCAAAGGTGCTGTAATGCTCCTGCACAATTTTCTGCACGAAGGCGTTGAAGCGCCGGTTGATGTCCTTGAAGACCTCCATGGTGCGGCTGGGCAGGTAGCGGAGCAGGGGGATGAAGTCGGCGGGGTGGCCGCTCCCAGCCACCTCCCCAAACTCATTGCCCAGGTTCACCAGGCTGAGCAGCTCCTGGTCCTCGTGCTCGTAGCGCTTGCCAAAGCACATGGCGCAGATGACGTTGGCCACCGACACCACCAGGTACTGGTTGAGGTCAAACCTCTTGTCCTCCTCCATCAGCTGCAGGAACTTGGTGACCAGGTACTCGGCCTCCTTGGAGACGTGCTCCTCCAGCAGGCAGCTGCAGGACGAGGTGGGGCTGGGGGCGACGGAGAAGCTCTTCAGGGCGCTCTGGGCCAGCTTCCTGCGTGCTTTCCACACCTCCCCGGAGTCGGGGCTGAATGCCAGGCTCTGCCCGTTGGAGATGTAGTGGAAGCTGTAGAGGTCGGGGCGTCCCATGAAGTCCTCTCCTTGCTTGACCAGGGCTTGGCGGATGGTGTCCAGCCCGCTGAGCACCAGCACGGGCCGTGTCCCGATGCGCACCTCCATCACGTCCCCGTAGCGCCGGCTCAGCCGCGTCAGCGCCAGGTGCGTGTCCGTGCGCAGCTCCAGCACGTTCCCCAGTACGGGGTAACCCCGCGGGCCCGGCGGCCGCCGCAGCCCCGCGGGCACGGCCGCCCGCAGCCGCTGCAGCAGCAGCAGCAGCACCAGGCACAGCGCGGCGGCCGCCAGCAGCGCCTCGCTGCCCGACACCGCCACGGGGCTCCCCGGCGGCCACATGGCAGCGCTCGGTGTCACCGCCGGCACGGACAGCCCTAAAGGAGGGAGCGCAGTGAGGGGAGAGCCGCGAGCAGCCAGGGGCTGAGCGCTGCGGCTGTTCCTGACACTGGGACAGGCAGCGACAGCCCCACACCAGCTCAGGGCATGGAGCTGCCCCTGCAGCACCGGCGGCACACGCTGGAGATCTGTGAAGGTTCCAAACACACCCACCCATGCCTCAAGGGGGTCCTCAACCCATCAGAGACTTTGCAGCACCCCTTCCCTGCAGCAGACCCTTAGACTGGCACACAGAACCCTCAGGAATAAAACAATGATGGATTAGGAGCTGGGGCTGGTCTCTGGGCTGAGACACCTGCAGGTGCTCCTGACACTGGGACAGGGAGTGACAGCCCCAAAGCAGCTCAGGGGATGGAGCTGCCCCTGCAGCACTGCGGGTTTCCAGCAGCACAGGCTAGAGATCTGTGAAAGTTCCAAAGGCACCCACCCATCCCTTAAGGGGAACCTCAACCCATCAGAGACCTTGTGGCACCCCTTTCCACACAGAAAACCAAAACCCCCACTGGCACAGCCATGGCTCCTGCCCAGGGAAGCCAGTCTTGTAAAACAAGGCATGGAAAACTGCAGCTCAGCAAATGCCAGGGAAGCAGGAGCAGAGGAACAGCAGCTCCTCTGTGAAGGTGGTTCCAGGACCACCAAACCCATCAGGAGTCACAGCCAGGAGGATGGACCTGCTGGCCACAATATTGGGGGGCTTGGGGATGCCACAGAGCTGCCCTGTGAGAACACACAGCTCACTGGGGGAGCAGGAGCAGCACCCAAATATGACCTTCCTGGTCCTATATCCACATTCAACCCCTCTCAAAATACACAAGTTGTCCCCAACCCATCAGAGACTTTGTGGCATGCCTTTCCCCGCAGCAGACCCTCAGGAATAAACCAAAGATGGGTTAGGAACTGGGACTGGTCTCTGGGCTGAGACACCTGGAGCTCAGACAGGACAGGAGCAGAGCTGGGCTTCATTTCTGATCCACAGTTGCCACACTTTAGGAAACTCCTCATTCTAAAAAGCAGGGTTTTGCTAGCCAGGAGTGGAAGGAATAGGTCCCCAACTTTTTGTCTACGTGCCAGGGAAGCAAAGGTGCTCTCTTAACCACGGGATCTTTCTTTCCTCCTCAAAGCTTTTTCCAGAGCACATGGCTAGAGGGGAGCTGATCCTGATTTGAGTCACCGAGCCAGCATTTACCAGCCCGTGGAGCCAGCAATGCCAGGGATCGTCCCTGATGGATCCATGTATGACAAATAACCCTGCCTGCAGCGGGGGCCAGCAGGATGGGTGCATCCCGCTCCCAGCTCTGTCACAAACCATGGAATCACAGAGTCCCTGAAGTTTGAAGGGACTCCTAAGCATCACCGACCCCAACTCCCAGCTCCTCATGGGAAGAAATCCATCGGAAAACCCCGAGAAGGGCTGGGAGGAGGTTGGCTGTTAAATCCCCCTCTTCCCTCGGGTTTGGCAGGGGTCCACAGCCACCCACGGGACACCTGTGGAGGGGATTCCAGGGGGCTCTGGGGACCTCGCACAGCAGCGGGTGCAGCCCAGCCGGGACCCCTTCCCAGCCCTCGGCAGTGGCAAGACTCGCGAGGGGAGCGTTACCCCCAGGACCCCCCAAAATCACCTTCCAGCAGGTGGGGGGGAGGATGCTGCTGGGGTCGGAAAGGTAGGACAGCCCACAGCGGGGCTGTCCATCACCCAGGGGTGCTGGAAAAGCCCCCCTAGCCCCCGTCCGTGGCGGTCCGGGCTCTCCGGTACTCACCTGGGCGGGAACGGTGCGGAGCGGCGGGAAGGGCCCGATCCCGCGGCTGGTGCCCGCTGCCCGCGGCTCCTGCTTTATATGCATCGCCCCGCGCGCTGATTGGCCAGGCCGCCTCCGGTCACGTGACCCCCCAACTCCCCAAGAACTCCCCGGACCCCCCCACACCCCCCCATCCCTGGATCCCCCCCCCTTCCCCGGGGCTCCCCCCACTCGTGGGGCGCGGGACCCCCGCTCCCCGCGCGTCCCTTGCGAGGAGGCTGCGAGGCGGGCGGGGGAGGCTCAGGGAAGGGAGGGGGGGTCCCGATAAGTCGTGGCGTGGGGTGCGGGGGTGGGGGGGGTGTCGGTGCCGCCCGTGGGTTCCAGCCCGGGGCGGGCATCGCGTGCGAAGAGGGCGGGATGTTTGGGCAAACCCGCACCGCCCCGGTCACTCCAGTCACGCTACCGGCAGGATCTTAAAGGCGCCGGTCCCGCGCCCCGCTGCTCCCCAGGACCCCCCCGGGGGCCGGCCCCGCTGCCCTGCTCGCCCCCAGACCCAGAGGGCTCCGTCCAGCCACGGCCGCGCCCCCCGCCCCGGTGCCCGCAGCCGCGGCACATCCGCGGTGTCCGGAGCCGCGGGGACAGCGGCAGCGTGGGAAAACCGCTCCGGGCGGCGCCGTGCGGGCCGGGAGGGGGGGGACTGGCGGATTCGGGCCCCGCGGGGCTCCGCGAACACGCGGGGATGAGCGCGGACCGCTCGCCGCGGGGTTCAGGCATCGCGCACCTCCGCGGGGGCCGTGCCCGTCCCGCCGCCGCTGTGCCCGGTACAGCAGAGCCGCGGCCACCGGCTCCGTGCCTGTCCCCGCACCTCGCGCTGCGGGACTGCCCCACAGCTCCGCAGGGACCCCGCGGGGACGTGGGCGGCGGGGCAGCCCCGGGGGTCACGGCCCTGGCTGCCCCGGCCCAGTTAAAGATTGTCCAGGTTCGCGTGAGAAGCGGCCGTGCCCTGTGTCACCTCTGTCCCCTGGGGACAGGGCGGCCCGAGGGGCGAGGTGGGGCTGCCATGGGGCACAGGGTGCAGCCGGAGGGAGGCGGGCACGGATGGTGCAGCCGGAGCGGATGGTCGGGGTCCGAAGGGGGGTTCGGGCAGAGTTTGGAGCCCCCAGCCCCGCTCCCCACGGGGTGACAGGCCAGGTCCTGCCCTGCGGCGAGGACAAGGGAGACGAGCCCGCTCCCAAAATCTGTCCCCTCCGCTCTCATCCTTGTTCCCAGCCCAGCCGCCACGAGGTGGGAGATAGGCCAGGGGGTCCCGCCCCGCCGGGGGGTCCCAGAGGTGGCATTAGGGACATCGCGTGCGAAGGGGCTCCGGCCAGACCCGGGAGGGCCGTCCTGGTCACTCGCAGTCACGCTACGGGTGGGTGGGGGGGGAAATGGTTTTTAAAGGACCAGGGCGGTGGCCTCCCGTCCAGGAGCCTGGCCCGGGGTCAGGGCGGCGCCGGAGCAGCTCAGGATCAGCTCCCCCCACGGCTGGCTGCGGGCTGGGGAGCTTGCGGGGAGTCCCCAACCCTGGGGACAATCGTCGGTGTCAACAGCGGTGCCCTCTGCCGCAGGATGCTGCACCACCTGCGAGGGGACGGCACTGCCCCTGCCATTTGTGTCCCCTCGAGAGGACATGGTCATCCCAGCCCTTTCCAGCCACGAGGAGAGGGAGAGAGGGGAGTGCCACCTGAAATGTCCCCTCTTGGCGCCGGGCGACACCGAGCTGTGCGGGGCTGCTGGCCACAAACGTCACAAATGTGCCCTAAGGCTGGGGACACTCGTCAGGGCGTCCATAAAGCCCGGCCGGAGATGGCTCTGACACCTCGTTCAACACCGGGCACAACGCTCTGTGTGTCTGTCCGAGTGTCCCCGCACACCTGCGCAGGTGTGTCCCCGCACGGAGCCGCATCCGTGTGCGGGGACAGGCTGGGGGCTGCCAACCCCTCCGTGTCCCGCACGGCTCCGTGTCCCTCGGGCGTGGGCACGTGCTGGTGCCATGCATGCCGTGCCACACGTGCCTGCGGGCACGGTCACCCTGCCGCTCCCGCCTGTCCCCGCACGCACAGCCCGGCCCCGCGGGGTGGCGACCCGCGGAGGGGACAGCGACACCCAGCAGGGACAGGGGGCTGGCAGCGTCCCCGCGGCTGCCCCAGGCAGCTCCGGGGATCCGCGGGCTCAGCGAGGGGCGGCGGCGGGTGCTGAGGGTGTTTTGAGGATGGTTTTGGGATGGTTTTGGGGTGTGAGGCTGCCTGGCACCAACTCTTAGCACTGTTCTCATCAGGAGGCACCCTGCCCTCGCACGGCTTGGCAGCCACCGGGGAGGGCTGGGACAGGCTGGAAGAGGGTCCTGGGGAACCTGTCCGGGACCCTCCCCAGCTTTTCCAGAGCTTTGGGATGCGATGGATGAGGAGTGGGTGGGTTCAGCATCAGCACAAGGTCTGAAATGCTGCTGGGGAGGGCGGGGGGTCACTCAGCCCCCCCCCAGCCCCAACCCCACCCCATGCAATGGGTCCGAGTAGATCCATAGGGATGGAGGATCCAGCCTGCTGGACGAGCCCTGCTCCTGCAGCCTCCCTCCCCAAAAGCGTTCCCAAGGGTCCTGCCGGGGCCGGGAGGGCTGCGGCATTCCCGGGAATTATCAGCAGGAATATTAGCAGCCGGAGTTTTGTAATTGTTCTTGCCAAACATTAATGAACGGCGTCATTGCTATTAACGAGCCCGATTAGACCAGATGTTGAAAGCCTTTATTAAATATTAGCTCAGCTTTTACCTGGGCCAAATTCCCCTTGGAATTTTCGAAGATTGAAGGAAACTTCGGGCCAAACTCCCAAGATCTGGCTCATTCCTGCTCATCCCAGCTGCACTTCCCAAACTCCCCTGAATTTTGCCCTGCCTGGAGGAGCAGCCCCGCTGGCTCGAGCATTTCCCTGTCGGGTGTCACCCAATGTTTTGTGGGATGAACTGCCCCAGCCTTGCCCCGCTCTGCCCCTTCACCTCTCCTATCTGCCGGGCTCACCTCCTCCCCTCTGCCCCGCCACTCCTCCTCCTCCTCCTCGCTGCCTGTTTGCCCCGAGGAGCCGGGGGAAGCGAGCCAGCCGCCTTCTCACGCAAACCTGGCCAATCGTTAACCTGAGCCTGGCTCTGCCCCTGGCCCGGAGGATCCTGCTGCCACCATTCCCGGGGCAGGGCACCTGCTGGATCATTCCCCAGGGATGGATGGGGAGGGCTGTGGGTGCCTTGTCACAAACGTGTCCCCTCGCTCACAGCCTGCAGCTCCCAGCACCTCCAGAGTGGCCATGGAGGTGACAGCCCTCTCTGGCTGCTGGGAACAGCCTGGCCAGCCCAGGAAAGCTTTTTTGGGGAAATGCTGGCATCCACATTCCATAGGCAAGACAGGCTGACAACGGGTCCTACATCCTCCCCAAGGCAGGGTTTAGGGACCCCCTTCTTCCTCCCCAGGGCAGGCTCCAGGGCCTGGCCCGGGAGGAGAAGTCACCCTTCATGGCCCAGAGCCTGTTGGGGGGGAGAAAGGCTCTTCCCTGGCTTCTTGGGCAGGCTCCAGGCAGGGTCAGCCCCGTTTGTTAATGGGTAGCTACTGCCAAGGGCTTTTGCAGCGGGAGGAGGGAGATAAATACCCAGTGATGCAGTGAGGGCAGAGTTTAGACAGCTGTGGACTCCCAGGTGGCAGGAGGAGAAGGACCAGGCAGAGGAGAAGGAGGTGACAGGAGAAGAAGGTTGAGGAGACAGAGGAGGATTCTCCCCTGCTCCTGGTGCCAATCCCTGCTGGGAGCCTTGGGCAGTAAAACCAGCCAGGTAGGAGACAACTTGTTTTGGGAGGGTTTGAACATGGATATAGGACCAGGAAGGTCATATTTGGATGCTGCTCCTGCTCCCCCAGTGAGCTGTGTGTTCTCACAGGGCAGCCCTGTGGCATCCCCAAGCCCCCCAATATTGTGGCCAGCAGGTCCATCCTCCTGGCTGTGACTCCTGATGGGTTTGGTGGTCCTGGAACCACCTTCACAGAGGAGCTGCTGTTCCTCTGCTCCTGCTTCCCTGGCATTTGCTGAGCTGCAGTTTTCCATGCCTTGTTTTACAAGACTGGCTTCCCTGGGCAGGAGCCATGGCTGTGCCAGTGGGGGTTTGGGCTTTCTGTGTGGAAAGGGGTGCCACAAGGTCTCTGATGGGTGGAGGACCCCGTTAAGGGATGGGTGGGTGTGTTTGGAGCCTTCACAGATCTCCAGGCTGTGCTGCTGGAAACCCGCAGTGCTGCAGGGGCAACTCCATCCCCTGAGCTGCTTTGGGGCTGTCACTCCCTGTCCCAGTGTCAGGAGCACCTGCAGGTGTCTCAGCCCAGAGACCAGCCCCGGCTCCTAACCCATCATTGTTTTATTCCTGAGGGTTCTGTGTGCCAGTCTAAGGGTCTGCTGCAAGGAAGGGGTGCTGCAAATTCTCTGACGTGTTGAGGTCCCCCTTGAGGGATGGGTGGGTGCCTTTGGAACTTTCACAGTTCTCTAGCCTGTGCCTTGTGCCACTGGAAACCCGCAGTGCTGCAGGGGCAGCTCCATCCCCTGAGCTGTTCAGGGGCTGTCGCTCCCTGTCCCTGTCCTTGTCCCTGTCAGGAGCACCTGCAGGTGTCTCAGCCCAGAGACCAGCCCCAGCTCCTAACCCTGAGGATTCTGCACCTGAGGGTTCTGTGTGCCAGTCTAAGGGTCTGCTGCAGGGAAAGGGGTGCTGCAAATTCTCTGATGGGTTGAGGACGCCCATAAGGCATGGGTGGGTGTGTTTGGAGCCTTCACAGATCTCCAGCGTGTGCTACAGGGGCAGCTCCATCCCTTGAGCTGCTGTGGGGCTGTCGCTGCCTGTCCCAGTGTCAGGCACACCCGCAGCACTCAGCCCCTGGCTGCTCGCGGCTCTCCCCTCACTGCGCTCCCTCCTTTAGGGCTGTCCGTGCCGGCGGTGACACCGAGCGCTGCCATGTGGCCGCCGGGGAGCCCCGTGGCGGTGTCGGGCAGCGAGGCGCTGCTGGCGGCCGCCGCGCTGTGCCTGGTGCTGCTGCTGCTGCTGCAGCGGCTGCGGGCGGCCGTGCCCGCGGGGCTGCGGCGGCCGCCGGGCCCGCGGGGCTATCCCGTGCTGGGGAACGTGCTGGAGCTGCGCACGGACACGCACCTGGCGCTGACGCGGCTGAGCCGGCGCTACGGGGACGTGATGGAGGTGCGCATCGGGACACGGCCCGTGCTGGTGCTCAGCGGGCTGGACACCATCCGCCAAGCCCTGGTCAAGCAAGGAGAGGACTTCATGGGACGCCCCGACCTCTACAGCTTTCGTTTTGTCACGGATGGGCAGAGCCTGACGTTCAGCCCCGACTCCGGGGAGGTGTGGAAAGCGCGCAGGAGGCTGGCCCAGAGCGCCCTGAAGAGCTTCTCCGTCGCCCCCAGCCCCACCTCGTCCTGCAGCTGCCTGCTGGAGGAGCACGTCTCCAAGGAGGCCGAGTACCTGGTCACCAAGTTCCTGCAGCTGATGGAGGAGGACAAGAGGTTTGAGCCCTACCGGTACCTGGTGGTGTCGGTGGCCAATGTCATCTGCGCCATGTGCTTTGGCAAGCGCTACGAGCACGAGGACCAGGAGCTGCTCAGGCTGGTGAATTCCACGGAAGAGTTCACTGCTGTCACTGCTGCTGGCAACCCCGCTGACTTCATCCCCCTGCTCCGCTACCTGCCCAGCCGCAGCATGAAGCTCTTCATCGATTTCAACAGGTACTTCCTCAGCTTCCTGCAGAAGAGGGTCAAGGAGCACTACGAGACCTACGATGAGGTGAGAGCTGGCAGGGCCTTCCCCTGCTCTCCTCCCCTCTCTATCAGCGAGGTGTTTGTGTTCTGGCAGGCATTGTCTCTCCCCAGTCCTCCTCCTCACGGAATCATAGAGTATTGTAGAATCATGGAATATCCTGAGCTGGCTCACACGTGGATCATCCAATCCAGATCCTGCCCCTGCACACACACCCCAACATCCCTGAGAGTGTTGTCCAAACTCTCCTGGAGCTCTGGCAGCCTTGGGGCCATGCCTGTTCCCTGGGGAGCCTGGGCAGAACCCCACCACTCTCTGGTGGGGTGATGGGATAAACAGAAACTGTTGGGACTTCTGTTTTATCTGCTTCATGTTGTAGCAGTCATTGCCTGTTTTGCTTCCTGGTGTCCTTGTACCTTTTCCTGATGTCCCACCCGAACCTCCCCAGACTCAGCTTCATGAGCCTCTCAGCATCTCCTCCATTCCCTGTGTGATGTGGCCAGTCTGGTGGTTGAACATCTGCTCAGTGCTTGGGTTCCTTGGAGAGCCCTCTCCTTGTTTCCACAGGGACCACAGGAGCTGAGGGATGGTGCTCCCCAGAGCTCATGTGCCCCCAGGCTCCCCCAGCACTCTGTGGGGCTGCCCAGGAGCACCCACCCCTCTGCAGTCCTGCTCCATGACCTTGCCTCCTCTTCCTCTCAGAACAACATCCGGGACATCACGGACTCCCTCATTGAGCAGTGCCTGGACAAAAAACTGGGAACAAACACGGCCACACAGATCCCCAAGGAGAAGATTGTCAACCTTGTGAATGACCTCTTTGGAGCAGGTATCCTCCCAGCTTTCCTCAGCTCTGGCAGATGCTCTCAGGTCTTCTCCAGCCCCTCCTGTCTGACCCTTCCTTGTCCAACAGCAGGCAGCTGGTTTGGGTCTAAGCACTCGCCCTCCTGCTCACTGGACCTTCCAGGGATACCTCTAGAGACCAGTCTGGGATATCAGCTCTGGAAAAGTGAAGGGCATGGGTTATATAGCTCAGCTGAACCTCACAATCTAGAGTGGTTTTTCCTGCTTGAGGGACATGTCTGTGGGCTGATTCACCTTTCTGTGGAAATTCCCCCAATTCTGGAGAAGCTGTACAAACCTGACAACCCAGGAGTGGGACAGGCTGAGAGAACAGGATATTTTATCAAAGTCTGTTATGGCAGGATAAAGCCCCAAGCCCTGCTGTGTGTCCAGGATGTCCCTGGCCTCCTCAGCCAGCCCAGACTGCCCTGTGTGATGGTCAGCCCTCAGGCCAGGGTGGTTGCTTCTCGGGTTTTGTGTTGCTGGAATGGCTCCCGAGGTATTAAAAGTCTCTTTTTCCCAGCCCTGATCTCTTGGAAAAGTCAGGATTCCTCGGCTCTGCTTTTCAAGGTTGATTATTTTCTCTTATCTGTTCCATTCTTTCTCTGACCTGCTGAGATCTGTCCAGCAGGTCGGGTTGTGGCACAGTGACAGCCCTTGGGGTGGTGTTGGCTTTTTATACTAAAAACTACCTGTACTTTATTTACAATAATTTTCCAATCCCTATCACCTATGTTAGACACTCTGTCTCTATCCTAAACCAACCCAAAAATGTCACCATCCCAGCAGAAGATGGAGGACAAGAAGAAGAAGAAGGACAGGACATGCCCAGATTCCTCCATCTTGCTTCTTGAACCCCCATTCTAAAACTCCAAAATTCTACTTTTTCACCCTGTGACAAACTAACTACCATTCATTGTGGCTTGCAAATCTTCACACAAAGTTGGTAATTGTTTCCATGGGCTAAAATCAAAGGCACAGGTGGTTTTGACTCTGTGCCAAGGTCTCTGAGCCCCCTGCCAGGGTCTCAAGCCATCCAGGGCAGGCAGAGGGATGTTCTGGGTTCTGGCAGTTGCTGTGCTGAGCTCACCCACACCCCATCCTCTTTGCCCAGGCTTCGACACCGTAACCACAGCCCTGTCCTGGAGCCTCATGTACCTTGTGACAAACCCCAAGATCCAGAAGAAGATCCATGAAGAGCTGGGTGAGTCCATGCCCCACGTCCCTCTGGGGCTCTCTGTGCTCAGCCCCGGTGCTGACCCTGTCCTGCCCTCTCCCCAGACCGCACCATCGGGCGCGAGAGGCGGCCGCGGCTGTCGGACCGGGGCACGCTGCCCTACACGGAAGCCTTCATCCTGGAGATGTTCAGGCATTCCTCCTTCCTGCCCTTCACCATCCCACACAGGTACGGGCTGGAGCGGCCAACACCTTCTTTGGGGTTTTGATCCCTGTGAGGGGGAAATATTCCAGCTTGTTGCCCTTCTGGGGTTGGATCCTTTGTTTTGAGGGTGGTTTCTCTCCACAAACCTTTGCTGGCAGAGCACACCTGGGTTTATATTTTCTTTCCTGCCTTGGGAGGAGCCATCACAACTGATCTGGAATGAGCTATGAAGTGAAACTGGAATTTTTCTGGTGGAGGAAAGTGAAGCCAAGACTCTTAAACCTCCTGAATACAATCTGGGGTATTTCCTAGCCAGTCCTAAGGGCACAAGTAGGGTTTTGAAGATGAAACCCCTGCAGGACTCGCTGAGCTTTAGCTTGTCAGAAGCTGTGGGTCTCCTCTAACTTCTCTTTCCACCATGTTCCCATCAGCACAACAAAAGCAACAGTGCTGAATGGTGATGGGCTGGCAGAGCTGCTCCAGGGATGAGGTGGCCTCGAGGCACCGTGTTACACCTCGTGGAGGACACAACTGTCCTCACAAAACCACCCCTTTGGGTCACACGCTTCAGGAGCAGCCTGACAGTCCCCTGAGGACGTAGAATAACCTGTTCTCCATCTTTTCTCTCCCCAGCACCACCAAGGACACAGTGTTGAACGGCTACTTCATCCCAAAGGATCGCTGCGTGTTCGTCAACCAGTGGCAAGTGAACCACGACGAGTGAGTACCGTGAGGCACAAACCCTCCTGTGCTGGCAAACAGGTCCCTTCTTGTGCTGAAACACAGCAAGGTCTGTTCCTGCAGTGACAATCAGGACCCCTCCCATGGTGGCAAACCATCAGGGATGTTCTTCCCAGCAGTTCCCACCTGTCTTGGTTTGGAAAGACAGGAGTCTGCTAAGGAAGGCAGGAGCCTCTTCTGAAATGGAGAATGTAAACCCTCCCCACCCCTCCATATTGTTATAAATTTTAAATTAAGGGGCTCTCAGGCAAAAATATGGGAGCAGGAAATAACAGTTCTTTACTAGGGAAGAAAAAAAAAAGGACAAAATAAACAATGCAGTGCACTAAAACGACACTGACAGAGTCAGAACCCAGCCTGACACCGTGTGGGTCAGGGTGTTGGCAGCAGTCCCATTGGAAATGTGGCTGCAGCCCTCCTGCAGTGTCAGGGGTGGTTCTGCTGGAGCAGGGGGAATCTGTAGAGAAGGATGTATTCTCCTCTGAAGATCCAATGGGAGAAGAGGCAGCTGCTGTTCCTCTGGGGAATCCAGTGGAGAAAGCTGTGCTTTCTCAAAACCTCTGGATTATATCTGGGTAGGAATGCTTGGCTCCTCCCTCTGGGCTCACATCTCCCAATGGGATGCTGTAGTTCTTATCAGCCATGCAGGGACATTCAATAGCTGTTATCAACAGATGTCCCCTCCCCAGGGAGGAGTGGTTGTGGTCACTCAAAGAGAGAGATAAGGCAAACTGCCCACTTGACAAAGACAATCTGCCATACAGATGGTAATAGAAAACGTCTTGCATTGCAATCTGGAACACCACCTTCCAGTGTCCCCCCAGACACCCATGCCCAGGAGAAACCATCTCAACACCCAATGTTCTCCCTTCCAGGAAGCTTTGGAAGGACCCAGAGACCTTCAACCCCGAGCGTTTCCTCAGCGCGGATGGGACCAAAGTGAACAAGGAGGACGGGGAGAAGGTGCTGGTGTTTGGCCTGGGGAAGAGGAGGTGCATTGGGGAGAACATTGCCCGCTGGCAGGTGTTCCTCTTCCTGGCCACGCTGCTGCAGCAGCTGGAGTTCAGCATCTGCGAGGGCGGCAGCGTGGACATGACCCCGCTCTACGGACTGTCCCTGAAGCACAAGAGGTGTGAGCACTTCCAGGTCAGGCAGCGCTTCCCCACCAAGGGCAGGAGCTGAGCAGTGGGAGGAGACATCTCCAGGGTGTCCTGCCAGCAGAGCTGGGTCTGGCATGACTCTATGAGGTGATGGGATAAACTGAAACCACTGGGACTTCTGCTTTATCTACTTTGTTTTGTAGCAATTGCTGCCTGTTTTGTTTCCTGGTGTTTCTAGTGTTGGATATTCCATTAAATGTTGGCTATTCCACCACACCCAGTTGTCCCAGTCTCTCTGCAAGCCTCTCGAGTCCCTGGGCCTTACCCGGGTCGGCAGAGAGTGGGGGGGGTAGCCCCACCACGGCCGACTGCGGGGAGACACTCTCTGTGCCCCGAGGGTGCTGAGGGCACTCAGGCTGGTTGCCTTCGTTGCAGCAGAGACGACCGAGACGTCGGTGGAAGAGGAAAGGGGCCGACTCCCAGCAGGGGGTATTCCAAGGTTTTATTAAGGAGTCCCGAGGGAGCTCCTCTGCCTCAGGGGGTTCCTCCTGCCGAGAGCACTGGGGGATGTTCGGAGCTCACATTTAAAGGGGGGAGGAAACTAACATAGATAAAATCCTACTAACCAATAGGTATCTCTGGGGGATGGGTGCTGGGGGGATAGACATACAAAACAGCGTATGGGGCAGGACTCGGGGGGTTGACCCTTGGCCCCTGGCTAATCACTCGACAACTTGGACCGAAACTTCTAGGTAGGGGGCTGGGATGTCGAGGTGACTGGCAGAGAGCCAGGGTGGGGGTTTTGGAGACCTTATCCCAGGAAAGGGATAACACAAGTAGAGGGAAAAGGAGGGGGGGGGGTACAGTCTGGGATAAACCATTTGGGAAAAACATGGGAATACAAAACAAACTACTTCAAAGTATTACAAAATATAAGAACGCACTACAACACCCAGTCTTGTACCGTATCCTTTGGGAGTGACCCTCTGATGCAGAACAGCCAACCCATGGCATAACCCCACAGCCCCCATCAGAATTACAGAATTATGGAATTGTTTAGGTTGGAAAAGGCTTTATTATCATCAAGCCCTGCAGTGCCAAGGCCACCACTAACCTGTGTCCCCATGTGCCACATGTTTTGACACCCCCAGGGATGGTGACTCCACCACTGACCACCTTCATGGTGAAGAAATTTTCCCAATATCTAAACCTCCCCCGGGGCAACTTGAGCCTTCATCCACCTCCTCCACCACGGTCGGTGGTGACCCTGGAGGACACAAGGGAGGACACAGGGAAGGACACAAGGAAGGACACAGGGAAGGACACAAGGAAGGACACAAGGAGGGACACAAGGGAGGACACAAGGAAGGACACCTTCAGCCCTGGCTGCTGGGAAAGCCAAACTGTTGCTGTTCCAGGCTGGAACAAAGGTGTTTTCATGGCAGGAAAATAATGACACCCAGGAATTGCTCCAGCTCAAACCCAAGAGTTTACATTGGCTGCCAGTCAGCCCATGCCAGCAGAGCCAGATGCCTCCTTTTCCCCAGCTTTGCACGCAAAGCCACCCCAGCCAACCCCAGCACGTGGCAGCAATGACAGGGACAAGCACCACCCCGGTGCAGCACGCTCTGTCCTGCACCCGTGCCAGGGGAGGGTTCTGCCCCCACAGCCCCAGACCCCGGGCAGTGGGGCTGCAGCCAGAGCTCCTGCCATGTCCAAATGCCAATCACTCATCAGGCATTGCACAAAAGCTTCCCAGAAGTGGCAGAGATGAAAGCGCGGTGGGGAAGAGAACGGGGAAGCCGATTGCCCAAGACTTCGGGGAGATCCTGGCTTGTCCAGACCTGCTAAAGCAGCCTAGGGGAAAAGCAGTGACTCTGTGTGTCCAGGCCCTGCTTGGTCAACAGTTTATGGTGGAACACCGAGGTGACAGAGCCTCAGAGCCACCCAAATTCTCTGAGCCAGCACAAGCAGCTGTTGGCATCACACCAGCTTTGTCTTCCCCACTTAACGTCATGATCCCAATATCGTAGGAAAAGCACTGGAGGGGAAGGTCCAAACCTGCTGCAGGCTACAAAAGGCATTGGAAAAAATGTGGAAGGATGCTTTAGGACAACCCATGAGGTTCACCAGCCAAATAACAGCTCCACCAACTGTGACAAGGACCCAGGTCAATGCACCAGAGTCCCAAACCCACTTCCCACAAGGGACATCCCACAGGTCAATGCACCAGAGTCCCAAACCCTCTTCCCACAAGGGACATCCCAAAGCCAGCATTCTCCTGCCGCAGGGCAAGGTGGTGTCATCCACTGGAGGTGCACCTCAGTGCCTAACCTGGTGACTCAGAAGAGCAGTGAGATTGCTGGGGACTCATCGGTGCCATGCTGTCCCTGTGGGGTGGACTTGGCCCTGTGGGGACACGCGATGCTGGCCCCAGTGTGGGACCACAGGCCTCGTTTGCTGCAGCCATTGCGTGACTCCTGTGCCCCAAAGGCTGGATGGGTGTGCTGATAAGGCTGCAATAAACAGGAGAAGATAGAAAGAACAGAGGGGAATTTTTTTCCCCCTTTGCAGATGAGAGTTTTATGGCCCCGGGACAGATAAGCAGCTTAATATTAACAACAGTGGTGTGGAACAGCCTCTTGCTGGTGGGAGGGCTCCCCAAGATCCATTCCTGGAGGGCTGAAGAAGTCACCTCTGCATCAGGATGGAGCAGGGGGAGGGAAGAGGCTTGAGGGGAGAGGAATGGGCAGGCAAATTATCCTTCCCTTCTCTTCATGGGGTGTGAGGCAAGGCAGCCACTTTATAATTCCCTACCTACATTTAGCGCCTCTCCCTCTCTTGATGCTGATGGAACCATCCCACAGAGCTGTGGAAGACCTTTCCAGGCATTCTGCAAAGGCAGGAGGGACCCCTGAGACCTTGGTCTGAAACCCCTGCATGTTCACCACTCCTTGGACATCCCTTTTAACAGGCCAGACCCCAGGAGAGGCTCCAGTTTTCCTGCTGGGCTCCACAAAATCACAGCATGGAATCTCCTCAGCTGGAAGGGACCCCAAGGATCATCAGTCCAGCCCCTGCACGGACACCCCAACAATCCCACCCTGTGCCTCAGAGCACAGTCCAAATGCTCTTGGAGCTCTTGGGGCTGTACCCATTCAGTGCCCCACCACCCTCTGGGTGAGGAGCCTTTCCTGGTATCCAGCCTGAACCTCCCCTTTTCACCATGGCTGCTGTGAAAGCCTCAGCAGCCCACAGGAGGTGAGAGGCTCCAGTTGCCCTATCTTTGCCTGCCCCTAATGACCTTCCTCAATTAAGCCCTCCAATTACTGCCCGGGCAGTCTGTGAGTGCCATGGTTTCGTTACTGGAATCAGGGTGCTGATAAGCCAGGGAAGCTTTGATCACTCCATGCAAAATTGCTTTTATGGTTGGTTTTAAAGTGAGTCATGAGTCCAGCCACAGCAGCAGGGCTCCAGCTCCACTTCCAAATGCTCCCAGCACCCTCATTCCTGCAGGAAAAGCTCTGGGCAGACACAGGCTTCTCTCTCTGCCTGAGGCACCTGTCTGATGCCAGCACTCGGGCTGGTGGCATCTCCTCTCCGGGAAAATCAGTCCCTAGCCCCAAAATGGGCCAGAACAACCACTTGTGACTCTCCTGGGGGGAAGAGAGGAGTTGCTCTAACACCCAATAGCCCTCCCAATTCAAAGTGAACCCTGCATCTCTAATTTCTGTCCTTTGGCTGTTTGGGATCTGTTATCAGGAGCCATGTCTCCTTTGGGGATAAATAATTCTGTGTCTCGCTTTTGCTGTTTGTCCCCTGCACTAGTGACAGAGGAAAACCCCACCAACACCATCTTTCTCTTTGCATCTCCACAGGCACAGAACTCCACACTGGTTTCTGCCTTTTGGGAGGAATAAAAATCTCTGCTCAGCCTCCCTGAGCAGCTTCTGGGGTGCTGGAGCTGGTGAGTGAGGAAGCTGCTGGTTCTCCAATCCATCCAGGTTGGACCTGTGGGTGGAGCAGAGCTGGGCACATTAAACCCAGCTCATGGCTCTGCTCCAGCAGTGCTCCCAAATCAGCCTGAGCCCTTTTCCCTCCTGCCACCCTGCCCTCCCTCCTCCTGGGGGGAAGGAGGCAGAGTTTGGGCTGATCGATGCTCCCGTGCCATTCCCAAGGGTGATTCACAAGGCTCCTGTGAATCAGAGGGCAGGAAAGAGGGCAAGCATGGAGTTTGTCCCCAGGCTGAGAAGGGAACAGCAGAGATGCAGAGATAGCTCCTCCCTGCACACAAAGCCCTGCTCAGGAAAAGCTCTGGGATCCCAGGAATCCCCTTCAAACCTGGCTGTACACCCACCCTGGCAGGATTATCCATGAGCCGAGAGATGGGAACACCAGGGGCCACCAGGTTCCACCAAGCACTGGCAGTGTGAGCCAAAAGCCCCTGGGATGGTGGATGCTCCTCAAGCTCTGCAGGATGTGGGCTGGAGAGCTGGGATGCCCTCGGGGCTGGCTGTCCCCTGGGTGTCCCCAAGGCTGGCCCTGGTGGCAGCGTAGCAGTGGGAGGTGGGGTCACACAGAGGGACAGGCTCTCATGTCCCCCCCAGAACAAGAGGACCCAGTTGTCTGCCCCACTCTCACCCCTAAAATCATCTCCCTGAACCCCAGCAGGGTGGGTAGAGCAGGGCTGGGGCTGTCAGGGTGGGGGACAGAGGGGGACACAGCGATGGTGGCACCCCTGCTGACAGCCAGCATCCCCACCCTGCTCCCCTTCAATTAAAAACATCCCGGAACCAGGGGAACGAGAGAGAGCCCTGCAACGAGGCTGTCCTCCACACCCAGGGGGGTTTGGGGTTGGCATGGGGGAAGAGGCACCCCGAGAGGCAGGACTGGGATCCAGAGAGCAGGATCCTAACTCACTGAAGCACTGCTGTCCCTGAACGCCCTCCGGTGGCACCTGGGACACAGCAGCTGCGCCAGTGGCACCGAGGAGCGCCGGCCTTTACCGTTCACGGGACACTTTTTGCCAAGAGGGACATTTGGGGAGGGAGATCTGTCGGAGACGGACCCTCCCTGCAGAGC